TCTCAGGTGGAGTGTCCTAGGGCCAGTTTTGTTCAATATTTTCATCAATGACCTGGAACACAGAATGGAGTGCACCCTCATCATGTTGGCAGGTGATGCCAAGCTGGCGGGGTAGTAGATACACTGGAGGGTAGGGCTAGGATTCAGAGAGACCTAGAGAAATTGGAGGATTGGATCAAGATAAATCTCATGAGGTTCAATAAGGACAAGTACAAAATCCTGCACTTAGGATGGAAGAATCCCCTGCCTGGGACTGACTGGCTAAGCAGCAGCTCTGCAGAAAAGGAGCTGGGGGTTACAGTGGACAATAACTGAATATGAGCCAAGAGTGTGCCCTTGTTTTGAAAACTAATGGCATACTGGGCTGCCTTAGTAGGAGTGTTGCCAACAGAGTAAGGGAAATGATTCTTCCCCTTTATTTGGCACTGGTGAAGCCACATCTGGAGTACTGTGTCCCATTTTGGACTCCCCCACTACAGAAGGGATGTGGACAAATTGGAGGCAGTCCAGTGGAGGGCAATGAAAATGGTGAGGGGACTGGGAAGCATGACTTACGAGGACAGGTTGGGCTTCTTTAGTTTGGAAAAGAGAAGACTGAGAGAGGATTTAATAGCAGCCTTCAACTACCTGAAGGCTGGAAAGAGGATGAAGCTAGACTGCTCTTAGTGGTGGCAGATGACAGAACAGGGAGCAATGGTCTTAGGTTACAGCAAGGGAAGTTTAGGTTGGATATTAGGAGAAACTTTCCTATTAGGAGGGTACAAAAGCACTGGAACAGGTTATGCAGAAAAGTTATGGAATTTCCATCCTTGGAGGTTTTAAGCCCAGTTAGACAAAGCCTTGGGTGGGATGATTTATTTGGGGATGGTTCTGCTTTGAGCAGGGGTTGGACTAGATGACCTCCTGAGGTCCCTGCCAACCCTAATTTTCTATGATTCTATGATATTAGAATTGCTTGTAATGATATAGCATACTAAAGGTTCCAGTATATGGCTTTTTATTTTTTTGTTATGAACCTTATCCTTCGTTCTTCAGGACACAAGATAGCAGATTTCTGGAGCTAGGCTTGGGACTTGCTCATTGCAAGTAATTCCATAATATTCCACTTCCAGTTTTCTTACATACTTTTCTGAACCATGGAAAAACTGGCCAGTATCAGAGGTCTTCAATATTGTGCCTTGTGTTTGATCTTGCATTGCAATCGTTCATATTCCTAAAATGTAACTGAGACAGTCAGAGAACTTGCAACTGTAACATATGATGTTGCTCAAAATCACAACTCTGCTTAAACCAAACTGTCTCTGAAAAGAACCTTTAGTGATAAAGGGAATATATTGACCATGATTATTACAATGTAAGATAATGCACTAGGAAGGAGCTACTGCAACGACTGGTATTTGCTAACTTGAAAAATAGGTAGATTTCTTGGGACAAGATTTATGTAGTCTGAATGATGATAATACTCAGGATCAGAACTACACAGTAAAATGCTGTTTGGATACTTGATTATATATGATGTAGTCCACTAGTATTGTTGGATAGTGGGTACAAAAGCGTTTAGAAAGAACAGAATGACTGAAGTTTGGTAGTTGGGATGAAGAGGCAGGAATCAGTGAACCAAAAGCACAGTGAGAGGTTATGGTGTTAGTGCTGGGATAGGGGTAGGGCACAGGTAGGGGATCAATGACTGGTGTTGTGATCCCACTGTTGAATGATAGCCATGGGGATTTCTTCTGTCCTGAAGCTGCTGTAAGTAGCAGTCAGGCAGTGGCTGATTCTGTACCATTGAGTGAACCTATTCTTCATAGAGTTCAGGTGTGTTCTCTAATAAGTTAGACCAGAGGTTCTCAAACTGTGGTCTGTGGACCACCACTGGCCCACAAGCTCCATTCAGGTGGTCCACAGAAAGGTGACCTAAGGCTAAAGCTGACAAATATTACACTTGACTTCCCAGAACTTTGCGAAAAAAACAGGCACATCCAACCCATTTGAAAGGTGAGACTACTGATATTAAAATATGGGTTGTGTGCTTTAATTTATAGAACAAAAAAAAATTATTAAGTTGTCCACCAAGACCCTCAGCAATTTTCAAGTAGTCCGTGAAAAAAAGTTTGAGAATCACTAAGCTAGACCATTTGCTAAAATCACACTTTGCACCTTTTTGAATTTTAAGTGCCAGCATATTGTTGTATGAACAAACCTTCCAAAACTTTTTTTTTTTGAGAAGTGCAAGGGGAAGCAGTTTCTGGTATAGCTTACAGATTTAAATATAGCATTTATATTAAAGGAAAATGTAAGCCTTCAAGTAATTAAATGGCTTTGTTTGCTGTTGGAGGTAATGAAAGAAACAATAAAGCAACTTTTATGCGTTAAGGGCTCTAAAACAGCTTAAAGTACCTGTCTTTAATCCTGGATGATTAAGGCTGTTCTATAACAAGGTTGTATTCAAGGAGATCAGGGATGTCACTGAATGATTCCTTCTCTTTTATGACTTCATTTTTTCATTGTCACTGAAGTGATAAACAATTAAAATTCAAACAATTAAAATGCAAACGCACCAGAGCATATAATTCAGTTACTCCCAAAATGTAATAAAAAAGTGTCTCCCTAATCAATAATTGCTTATTATGACTTATAGTAATTATACAAAGCATTAAGATGCTTAGCTGTTGCTTTGGAAAGGAAGCTGAAAATCAGGATATTGTAACTGAGAGAGGGAGACTGGCTACAAAATGTTATTATGAAACATCAAAATGTTTATGTTCTTAACAGGTTACTAAAGGCATCACTTAAATATTTCATAAATATTGTGTAGAAAAAAATACTGTAAAAATCAGAAGAGCACTAAACTTATTTATTTACCTTTTATTTTGGCATTTTCCCCATGGTATCTACTTCCTTACTCCTTATTTCCAAGTTCTGCAAAGTTTTATAAATGAAGCTGATACTGCTGCAACTTCAGGCAGAGCTGGCAGCAGCAGGAGTAGGAAGGAATAGCATACTTCCCTAAATATTGTGGCACTTGTTACTCTCAATAGTGTGAGTTAGTATTCAGGTTTTCTGTGGCTTTCCCATTCTGGCCTGTAGCATTTCATCAGCTTATGCTTTGCTTGCTTTCCTTTTCTCTCCCATCCTACTTCATTGTAATGAACTATACCCAAAAACTCATCCTTGTCAAGAGTGTGATGCATAAGCTGGAAAGTAAATTTGGAGTAGCTATGTAATGTCCTGCTGCCATTTCAGAGCATTTGCCTGCCGGGTGGTAACACTACCATTGTTGGAACATCTCTTGAATCTTGTTTTTCAATGCCAAATGCCACCACATTGAGAAGTTGAGGGTAGATGAGATTTGTATCTTTGTACCTCTCCCTTTTACTATTACAAATATAGACTATGATGGATACAACAAAATCAAAAAGGATCCTCTGCTTGACCTGAGGGGAGGAAAAGGAATCATGTTTTAGGGACTACACTTTTGTTATTTCTAGTTCAAAAGATCCCTCTGGAACTGTAGGAAGAGGAGCAGGTTTTAGGGAAGACCTTAAATGTCAAAGATCCCAAGCCTAGATAATTTATTGGGCTAATATGATTAAGGCAGTCTGGTTGCTGGAGCCCAGCAGTACATGAGACAGCAGTAGGACTAGGTACCAAGTTACTGCTGGTACCAGTACATGGAAGAGCAAAATGTTCAAGTATCAAATACTGCTGGGTTGTGTGAAGGTGGTCTTTAATACCAGTTCCAAGCAAGGCTTGAATTCATGTTTCTGCACTAGTTCCATGTAATTCCAGGAGGTCAGGAATAGGAAGCATTCTGTAGTTTTCTTTAAAAACAGTCTACAACATGGCAGTGTTATTAAAGTAAGCTGTGGCATTTTGCGACCTCTCATTTTAGAATATTAATCTTTTTGCATAAGGTTTTTTTATTTACATATTATTGCTCTCTCTTATGCTGTAACATATATTATATCAGCATATGCTGTATTGTGAGATCTGCTTAAAGTCTGTCTTGTGTTTCTTGTTTAAAACCCACTATATACAGGAGACATTACAACATGTTCATTAATAAGTTTCTTTATTTTATATCTTCTGTATCTGGCCTTTGTTGTCATTAAAATCATATTTTAGTGATAACATTTTCAGATGGGCTTTCTTAAATTGTATATTTCTGTATATATACTGTATAATGTATTTCTGACACAGTATATTTCTGTCTGTAAACTATATAATGTATTTAATTCTTGTCCATCCAGTTATTATAGATTTTAATATCAAATCAGTTCATTGAATTATTTCTTTACCTGCACATTTCTGCCCATACTATACATGCAGTATAGTTTCTTTGTTTCTTTTTCTCTGCCTTTACCTGGCTTTTCAACAGTCAGTTGGTTCTATTTGCTGTCTTATTTAATGGACAGTTTATTTTTTGAAGTAGAACCCATTATTAGCACTCTTTGGTCTGTATTTACGGTTATTGATTGTGCTTGACAAATTTACTGTTTTGAAAAGGCTCAATAGCATTGGTCATTTGTGCTGGGTTGCCAACTTAAATGTGCATTATGAGACAGTGAATCAACACTGAAATAACAGCAGTTCAGAAGAGACCAATTTCTGGTGTTTTCCCTGTTACGTCTGCAGAGAACCAGCCAGAAGACAAATGTTCCAAATTTTAATGCCCAAAGCCTGCTGACCAGGGCATCCAGAAGCAGAGACCACTTACTTTTTGCATATACATGAGGTCCTTTTGTCAATAGTTGAGTTGCACCTGTCTTGTCTTTGCAAATGATGATGAAAACTTAATGTTCCTTTAAAAAACATTACTATAGAATGCCTACATAAGCACAGTGGTATCACAAATAAACATTCAGTTGTTTTACACACACGATATCAAACCTGCATAGCAAGGTTTTGGTTATGCAATAATACTATAGCCTGACTCTTCTATTTTTGTCTTTCATGAATGCTTACTGAATATTTACTTGATTGGGTTTGATTTATAAAAGAAACCAAGGAAATTCAGATACTTCCAGCTTTATAAGTAAGAGATCCCTAACGGATTTTCATAAGACTCTTCAAAAACAAACATTTCAGTCGGAAACACTGGACAACAATGATGCACACTATCAGGTATTTTTCTTTTCAGCTGGATTTATTGAATATTATATATTTCCTTAAAGCTTGCTTTGCTTAAAACCAATGTTGTTATGTTTTTTCAATATAAATCAAATGGCTGCACTGTGTGGATGCTGCCTTAAGAGAAGCTCTGTAGCCAGTATTTCCAGAGGTCATACATATTAAGGCAAATTTAGAGCACAGGTCAGTGTGAAAACCCCCCGATCAGCTATTTCTCAAGGGCTTGCCACTTTGTCAGGGCAGCCTCTTGCATATGTGCATGTATGCACTTGCAGCTTTGTAGCTTGGCCTCACAGGATCAAAGTCGGGCAGTTTTACCATTGTCTTTTGCTAAAAGCAGAATCAAGCCTTTACCTCTGAGATCTTGTGATAAAGGATAGTGCAGATATAGTTTCCTCCTGGCTATGCTCACTGCCAGCCAGCCAGCACCTTCACATTTTACTTCAGGCTGGCTCACTGTGGCATCCTTATGGAGGGAAGTGTTCAGTTACTTGAGCCTCTAGCACCTGTCTTTTGGGAACCTTTTATTTTAGAAGAATAGTACCCAGCAAAGTCTGTGTGAGTAGAAGCTGGCCTAGACCTTGGGCTTTCATAGTTTCATAGTTTCTAGGGTCGGAAGGGACCTGAGCAGATCATCTAGTCCGACCCCCTGCCATGGCAGGAAGAGCACTGGGGTCAAATGACCCCAGTAAGGTGGTCATCCAACCTCCTCTTAAAAACCCCCAGGGTGGGAGCCTGCACCACCTCAC